GCAGGGACTTGTGTCAAAAAGCGTCAGCAGTCGTCATGTCATGTAAAAAAGGGGTGGAAGCACGCGCGGTGCTATACGTAAAAGAGATGAAAATCATTCTCATAGAGGCTGCGCACATTTTTCCCATTCTCCTCCACGTCCCAGCCGTTTCGCAATTAAAACCTTAGCACAGTCAGGTGATCGGCTGGGGTGCGTTAAGAGTGAGATTGAGAGGGCGCTCATAGTTCAGCCTCCTTCGGCATCACCTCATTGGTCGTCGTCGGTCTCCGTGTAAAAAAAAAAATAATAATAATAATAATAACACAAAAAAGGCCCGATCGATACATTATTCCTCCACTACGCCTACAGTAGTTTTTTTGTACTTTATACGCGTATTTTTAATGATTTCCCATTCTCCTTTTTTGTCCCGGCCAGTTTGTCTCACACATTCCCATATATTTCCATCGACGACGGAAGAGGAGAAATTGCTACAGTACTTCCTCCTCTTTTCGTTTATAGTTGTTGTCGTAGCACTCGTGTGCGCGTAAAATTTTAAGAACTCGCCGAACAGATTCATATACACCCACGCCCTGCATAACTATAGGCACCTATTTGCAAGAGTACATAACTTCACCCACCATACGACAACGATTTGCTGGTGCTTCCTACCTTCACTATCCAACCTACCGGCAAGTTCTTTTAAGTAAGAGTGCGTTTATAACGAAATATTAACATTTCCAGCTTTCACAACATTGAGAAGGTAGAAGAGGGTTACTTTTTGTTTTGCTTAATGTACACAGCCAAAGTATTAGGAGCAGCAGTGTTTCCCTGTACGTTAAATTTGCCATAAAGAATCGGCCGATGCAAAGCTTTTACGTGTGAGCGTTCGCTAGTATGCCAGTTTTATAAATCTGCTACCGAAGGAACTTCTTATTAATACCCGTCAATAATATAAATCTCGCATTTCAAAAGTTATAGAAGGTAATGGTAATATTGTTGTTCTTTATGTTTTTAGTAAGATAAAAACAAAGGAACGTGTTTTAAATGTTACAAACTTCTAGCAATCTATTCAAAAATAAATAATAATAATAGGAACCAGATGATTTTAAATAATATTCTTGTAATTAAGACAAACACTGATATGAAAACCTTTGATTAATGATTTGACATCATAATATCGACTTAATTACCGGAACCGGTAACAGAGTGCCCTTTTTGATGATTAATGTTGTTTTACTTACATTCTTGTACTTGGAAATTGAAAGTTTTACTTTAACTACCGATAGTTTAATTCAATACTAAAAACAATATGCATATGAGGTTGGGTAGAATTGTAACTGCTTAACTGTTTCTAATTTAAAGTCAATAGCATGTTAAATTCTTATTTCAGATGTTCAGAAAAATTAATAATTAACCTTTCATAATTTGTTTAATTAGTTATTTACTTATAATAGTATACATTTATTAGATTTGATGTTTTTTTTAATACTTTTAAATGCTTACTTTAATATTTTTTACTTAAAACCGCTAAGATTATTTTGGATAACGACACATTATTTACAGGAAAAATGTGTATATAACATTATTTTAAACAACAAATTCATGCTATTTTATTCAATTTTAGTATTATTGTTAATATTTACATTTACACTTAAAATTAGAGTAACTTAAGGTAAAATCACGTGCTTTTTTTATCGCATATAACATATTATAAGGTAATTACGAACAATTTTTTTTTTTTTTAGATAAACAAACTACCAAAAAATACAAATTAAATAAAAAGATATGTAAAATTGATCCAAGATTTGATATTCATCAATCATTGGTTCTTAATTATGAATTTAAATAATTTATTTCAATATTGGTATCTTACCCAGTATGGACTTTTATTCCAGTTTACTCTACAATATAATAAATATTATGTTTATAAAAGAATTTTCGAATACTATAGTTTTTGTTTTTCATGATGTTGGAGATAATACTGTCGAATTTTCAGATCTATCTGCTCTGGAAAATGCAACGTAAATCTGGCCGTGTGAAAAGCATAGCTCAGTCAAAACAAAACCAATATGTTATCCTGTATTAGTATAAATTACACAAAATAGGTTTTCCTATTGGTGCTAAAAATAATATACTATAAACTTAATAAAAATAATGAAAAAATTAAAAATATTATTAGTTTGATCTTTCAGAAAATCCAGAAGTCTTTAATTAATCTAATAATTAAAATCATGTAAAAACCCAATACAGTTGGGTCATGATACACTGTGGAAGTGACATAGTTGGGACAAATACGGATGATATGTGACAGTGGTTCACATTACAATCATAAAAACCCTTTCATGTGAATTTTTTTAATTTAACGATAATTTCTATTTTTGCAATTTTACTATTGCAATATTTTAAATTTCTCTCAAATATTAAAGATTTATTAAATTATTTGTTTTATCACAAAATCTTCATTGAACATTTCTCTAATTGTTTAGTCCATACTCTGCTAATGAATCTATTAACATCCCGCGAGAACATAAAGTATAGAAATCTCATTTAATACTCTTACCACTTATCCAATAAGGATGTAGAAAAACACTTTCTACATCCTTATTACAATATTATCATAAAATTAAAAGTAAGGTTTAAAATTGTCAAGTCTCCCGAAACAAATTTATAAATTGAGTTGAAAAAAATTATCATTGCGTGAACTATTTCAGAACCTTCCTTTTTTTATGTTTTTCATAGGATTTTCATAAAAAAGTATACTAAAATAAAATTCATTGTCTCTAGTATTATCTATTAAAATTTCATTAAATAAAAAATTTGTTTGTAAATTATATATTTTAAATTACAGAAAAACTATTTTGAAAATTAATTTTTTTTTCATAGTATAAGTCCAGTTCTTCTGAAGTATTGGTCATTCAAATCGTTCCAGTAAGTGCTAACATAAATTTGGCAAGACATAAAATCATACAATACTACAAAAGCAATACCTTCTAAGCTTCGCTTTGAAGTCAAAAATTATCAATGCTTGAATACCTATTGCATAAATTCAAATTGAATTAAATTTAAACTGATTTTTAGAGTTTGTATAATATAAAATATTACTTTACTTAAATGTATAAATAATCAGTTAATACATTCAAATAACCTAATTTTATAAAGATCTTCGCCAAAATCAAACTAAATTTAAGGTAGTTTAATTAAAATTAATTCATTAAATAATCTTATCATATCTATCAGTTCTAATAACCTGACACGATTATATAAGACTTTGTTTTATCTAAGACAAAAGGTAATTATGGCAGCTGTTTACTGATTAAATATTCAACTAAGTAGTTAAAAGTAACAGGTGTTATTGCTTTAATCTTAGGTATGAAAAGTTTTCATGAATAATTTCCTATTCTTCTTCAGTTTCAATTATTATTCGTATAAATTATAGTTCATGAACTATAGTAATAANTTCTTCTTCAGTTTCAATTATTATTCGTATAAATTATAGTACATGAACTATAGTAATAAGGCATAAACCTAATACTTGTGGTACCTCTAAGATTCGAATTCTATGTTTTTCAAAATATCATGCACACCAATTTTTTTTTAATTATAACTCATGGACAATTATTGCAATATTAAAATTGATACCTTTAAAACTTTAATAAAAATGTTAACTTTTTTCTATCTTTCCATAAAACAAGCCTCCAAAACATATCATCATAAAATAATTTTAAGGTATATTATTATTTATTATACAATTTACAAAATTTTTGATATTAGACATAATACAAATAAAATTGTCACATATAATATAAAATATAACACGATATAATATGTTGATGTCCTAAAATTAAAGAGAAAATATTATAAAAAAAACCAATTCTTGTAAGTTTTTTAGATGAAAAATTAATAAATTTTAAATATTATTATTTAAAGTACAAAAATGTAACTTTCAATGGTATTATATTATAACATATGAACTAACGAAATAATGATTGAAATTTTCATACTAACATTATCTTTATTTAACAGTTTTATTATATAAAAACAAAAGTGTAACAAGAAACATAGTTTTTAATGGAATGAAAGAACTACATTGTGTATAATGTTATAATTTGTCCCACTTAACGCTTATCATAGTGAAAAGTTATAATAATAATAACAACATTCTGGTTGTTGAACTAACAAATTTGGTTTAAACTATAAACATTAACAGTCAGAAAACTTTTTATAAAAACCTAAATGCCTGTTTTTTTTTTCTATAAAAATTAAACTTTATTAATCTGTGCAATTTTCATTCATAATAAGTCTTTAAGTAGTTTTTAATTACCATAATTATTTTGTATGTTTTTAGTTGGGTCAATTTTTTTTTCTACTTATTTATCAACCACAAACTAACAAGTTATCCCAGGCGAGAGTGTAACTGCACTACATATACTGATTGTAATGGAGTTGTGGTTTAGTGAGAAATGAATATACAAAAAGAAAAAGAACACAGGAGTAGAATCGAGAATCCGGTGGTGGATATTGAAAGAGGAAATAGAAAAAATGTTTTTAAAGACAGTAACAGAGGGAACGGAGTGGAATGTAACTGGAGACATAAATGATCTTTGGAATAGATTTGCTAGCTGTGTAAAAAATATTGCAGAGGTAAAAAAATGGTACATTAATATAATAGAGAATATGTACAATGGCAATTGTACCAGAGTAAAACTTGAGTGGAGTAACAGAAGATTTTAGGGTAAGATTAGGAGTGCACTAAAGTTCTGCATTAAGTCCTAACTTATTTTCTATAGTGATGAATGAAATCGCTAGAGAATTACAAAGAGAGATATCGTTTAGCAGTTTTGACAAGGATGTAATACACAGGTTTAAGTGTGGGTGATTGAAGTAGAGAGAAGCGTCTTATGTTTTATGCGACAAGAGAATTCCAATGATACTAAAAGGTTAGTTTTTTAAGACTAGTGAAACCAGTTATGATGTATGGTTCAGAGTGTTGGGTTAATGGGNCAAGAGAATTCCAATGATACTAAAAGGTTAGTTTTTTAAGACTAGTGAAACCAGTTATGATGTATGGTTCAGAGTGTTGGGTGGTTGACAAGATAATAGAACAGAGAATGAGTGAAGCAGAGATGAGAATGCTTAGATGAATGAGTGGAATGACTAGAGAAGATAGGATAAGGAACCCGCATATAAGAGGGAGTACAGGTGTAGCATCAATCGCGGATAAAATGATAGAAAATAGACTTAGATGGTTTGGTCATGTTATAAGGAGATAGGAATCGAAAATTATGAAAACAGTTATGGAATGAATGTTAAAGGAAGAAGAGGTAGAGGAAGACCAAAAAATGAGATGGAGTGATGTTTTTGAATGCAATATGAGGATGACTGATGTGTACGTAGATTATGTGAGAGATCGTGTCAAGTGGAAGTTTAGGATAAGGGTGGCCGACCCCAAGTAGTTGGGATTAAAGCGAGGAAAAATAGGAAGAAGTTTATTGAGGACAAACTCGGAATATTTTGTGATTTCTTACACATACTTGAATTAAATTTTTTAGAAAAATTAATTTTACACCATATTATATTTTTTATAGTATATAGTAAGGAAACGGGTTTCTATTGTTCTCATTGTTTGTAACAATTAGACTGTTTCTTTACTTATTGAACACTCTGTATATTAAATACAAAATAAGATTTATGATATAATTTATAAAATTTGAGTATCAATTACTTATATTGTTTTATAACCATAATAAAACTCACAGAAAATTTTAAACTGATGTTTATGTTAATTTTTATCTTGCATAAAACAGCTAATACATGTGATAAATAGGTGTCCCACGATTTTCTGACAATTTGCCATAAGAATAGTACGTGGGTTTGTTAGAATATCGTAGGACATCTATATATTACTGTACTTTACTACTGGAAAACAGTGGAATTCTATTTTTAAAATAGACAATACTATACATTTTAAGGTTGTACTGTTCGAATTATAAGACCATTAACATTAATAACTTAAACAAAACATAGAAGAAATAATCATTATAGTTATTTTCATTTTTATACGTAGGCGGGAGGAAGAGTATCATTGGGAAATGACTAGTGACAAAAACAGCAACACCCATTCCTCACCTCCAGTCATTAATTTTAATTATAAAAGACTTCTGAATTACTACGGTAGTATTTTAGAGTATTTTCAAAAGTTCTACTTTTTACTCGTATATTTTAAGTTTTGAACCCTCCTGTATAAAGGGAAATGATTCGATTTAAAAACAAAGTATGCCAGATAAAGGAGTATCCATTAAGTATTTATAATGTTATAATCCACAAAAATTTCATAAAGATACAATAATTTAAAGTTGATAATATAACATCAAAAATTTTAATACAAAAATATTATATAATAAAAGATAAGTCATGAAGACATGTTTTTGTAAATTTATAGTTCATAATATAAGTAAAATATCAGTTTTTAAAAAAATGTAAAACAGATGAAAGGGAGATAGCTAAGGTATTTATGTAAAAAAAGTTATTTTTATAAAAAATAATGACTGCTTTAAGAAAAAGTTTAAAAAAACTTACTGATTTAAAAAATCGTAATTTTTTGAGGTATTTCCTCCATTTGAATGAGGGTAATCCGACTTTTTGTGATCTTTTGACGTATCGTTGAAAGAAATCGGCCCGTAGAAAGCTGAGAAAAAGTTGCAACACACACAAAAAAAACATATCAAACACATTAATAAATTAATACTTTCTCATCTTCGAATCAAAGCTAAAAAATAATAATGTGTGAAAAATAATTATTTACTTAATTCATTCAAGTAAACGTCATTGATTATGAATTTTGTATGATTTAAATTTATTATCATGTATTTATAAGCTTAACCATGTATACTTTATTATTTATTAATTACCCTTTTTTTATTGTTATTTTGTATTTTGTCAGGAAGGCCGAATGTTGTAATCTTTATTATTTCTGTAATGTTTATGTTTAAATTGCAGCTATTGATCACCGTGTGACTATCGTGGAAGTTAGTTCGGTTCTAATCGTCACCAAAAACTTATCAGTGAACTTCTTTTCCAATAAAACCATATGATATGACTTTTTCAATAGTATATAAATGATTTTACATTGATATTAATCGCCTTATTCATAGAGTTCTAAGACTTCTAGTTTTCCGCTTTTATTAAATAGTTCTATATAATTTTCTTAATAGTTATTGTATATATTAATTAAAACGATTTCTAAAAAAAATACAATTAATAATTAATATAATTATCTATAGTTTTTTTTTTTTAACGAACATTGAGACTTCAATACTGCTTAATTTTAGAATTTTATAAGTATTCAAGAATACTCATAATTTAAATTGTGTGAATATGTACACTATAATTATTGTTATTAACATGATTGTCATTGTATACCATGATTTTAATATTTTACTAGTAATAAGTAGTTTGTGTCATCATAAAAATAATCCATTAGTTCTAAAAATGATATAAATTATGAATATCATCGTACATTGAAATTGTAAAGACCGTTCAGCCGTAAGCAACAGTCATTTTATTAATACGTCGCATAAAAAGTATATTTAAACCTAGACCATGTTAAAAAAAGAACATGGTCCCGCACAGGTTAATAATAATATTTGATCGTAAGCTATAATAGGTCTAATACATAATGGGTATACAATAAATTAAAAAAAAAAAAACGCTACAAAACGACGGAGCAGTAAGAGTGAGCATTATTATTATTAGGTAGGTACTATGAAAAGGGAACGCGGCGACCGAAGTGCATAAAGGATTTCTACCCCCTCTAATCTATTGCCTCGGGACTATGGCCAGATAGAGATAACTATATTCTAGAAATAGTAGTAGTGGAAACGATCACACCCATTTTCATTCTACATGTACGTATTTATAAACATGCGTGTGTATGTGTGTTTGTATATGTACCACCTTTACACATATGAGACGAAATCAACCCCACGTCGTCGAGATGAAATACCTGAGCAGTGCACGACGGCGGGTCCTTGCCCAACCAGCGGCGACGAGCAGTAGAAGTGCAACAACACACAATAATGATAATACCGTCCGGTCGTCCCTTATAGAAGATTTTATATTATTCCCCTTTTACACCATACACAAAAACTAGTTTTCGATTCCACCCTGTGTATTTGTGTGCGAGTGTGTGTGCATGTCGATGTACAAGAGTACAGTGCACTGCAGTGTTCTTCGACTATTTACTACGTCTACTAGTCCTCGCCCAAAATTCCATTCGGTTTGCAGCTGCCCCCTTCCGCCACTGCCGCCGACCCCCGCCGGCATCAGAGATTTTTGGGGCATTTTTTCTCATTCCTTTCGTTGCACTATGCACTATAGCCGCGCGCGTTGGCCTAGTTTAGTCGATAGTGTTTACGGTAGTGCTAAATCGATTTCGGTCATCGTCGTCAACTGCACTGACCTTCGACTGGATACTTTTTGAGGATAACGTTCACTTTCATCAGGTAAATTATTTCAACCGCTTCTTGTATAACTAACCTGCGTAATAAATTTTAAAATAATAATAATTATTATTATTATTATTTAACTATAAGGAAATCCACACTAATTACCATTGTTACTATAGATATTTTTCGCACGCGTCTGATTATTCTTACAAGTACTAGTGTGAATATATAACGAGACTCTTTTTAACTGCACAAGTATTAGCATAAACAATTTCAACGACCAAAATAATTATTATTGCTAAAAATAATTACCATCTGTGCACGTGATTGCGACGACGTCGGTATAATTTTTCTACGATAAATTTCATGTGTTGATTTCGTCGCGAATCGCCATTGAGTGTTTGACTTATTCGATTATTGCGTGAACGACTGAAGTATCGAATGCTACAAGGATACAATGTGTAAAAAAATCAAGTGATCTGTAGAGCGAAAAAAATTCTAATTTTTAAAACGAGAGATCGAGCCAACCGTGAATTTATTATTGCATTTAATAATGTACCTATTAACTCGACTGTACGAGAGGAGGTAACAACGTCAACGTTAAACCCACTCAGTTCGAACCAAGTACTTTATCCTATTGCTTAGATACAGTAATATTATTCCTAAAATCATTATTATCGTGCGCCATAACAACTTTCAAAGATTATTAATCGAAGTGAATACGTGTGATACCTCCTGTACGTCCACGAAGATTTATTTTCATGGAGATAATCGTCAATCAAACTCATTTAAAATTGTCTCGAGTTTGCATTACCACATACATCGAAATTGCATTGGTTTACTAATGCAATTTTTCCTCGAATCACATTAATAAGTTTATAAATTTGTTGAAATGTATTTTTTTCTTCTGTAATTTTCCAACTCGCATTTTAATGATATTCATACGCCGCGAGAACGTTGGTCGGAAATAATAAATACAAAAAAGTAGTTATTTCACACCGTGTAAAAAAAAAAACGATTTTATTCTAATCGAAATAGCTGCTACACTGAATGCGTGTTCTCTATTGGGTGCCTACACAATTTTGGAATTTAAACCCGTTCTTGTTCTTTTTTTAGCCGTCTCGTACAACTCGTTTTGGAACGACGTAGACGGCAATGTACTGTGAAACCTATCCATAGAATCAATGTTGTCTGTGACTCCTATTTACTGTACTCAAGTCATCATTACCTGACCTATGGCTCTATAATTTAACATAAGACCACCGCCTCTGCTTCGATTGACTACTGCACGAGTCCGCTACACACTTTACATACATTGTTGCGCAATGCCCGCTCAAAAAAATTCGCGTAAAAAGCCATTTACGGTTAAGAAAAGGGTGTAAAAAAAAATAAAAACACGTAAACGACATGTATCGTCGAATACATTTTAGTAAATCCGTATGTTAATTTAGACATATTAATAATTAGTCTAAGAAAATTAAAAGTTTAACATTTTTTTTTTTCAATTTCATCTATCGAAATTAAAAACATTAATATTTTATATTTATTTGTCTATATTTGTTTGAAATGCGAACAGGTAATTCTGCGATGCTACCCCAGTAAAAATCCAGTTGGAAGGTAAAGTAATTTATCGAATAAAAGTACAACACAACCGTAAATTTCTGGAAACGTCTGACAAAACGATAAATGCTCATAATAATTCTGAGCAAACAAAACAATATCTGCAATTAAATATCATAATATATCATGACATCAAAAGTGCTTAAGTATATTAAAGTATTTAACTACGTTGTGATATCTGTTAAAATATTACAATTTTACTTTTATAACTAAATTTGATGTGCTCATTTTAAATTCCTGAAGTTCGTTCGACAAATACTAATATAAGCTAATGATTATTGCTAATTTTATAAACGCCATGATTTTACATATTACTATACAGCGAAATGTACACGAGTAGTGTACGTTTTGTTGTATAGTAGTGTTAATCTATAGGTAACACAATTATTTACTGCAATATCGCCTATTTAAAATACAAAAATAATTATTTTTATTATCTGCGTGCGTTTAATAATATATATTATACAACTATAATCGCAAGTAGTTTCGTGTTACTTCTTCAACTCTATTTCAAATAGTTGCAACGCTATTTTCTCTCCTTTAGAATTCGTTAATTTTTAATATCAATTAATCAGTTAAAATTCTCGAAAAGAAAACTATTTCAATAATTATCCAAATAGCTTAAACACAATGAATAACTACAAAGTCTGATTACCATAAATCTTTCGTAAATAAAAGTCGAACATTATTAGCGTAGAGAACGATGATAATTCCAAAAATAGACAGTCGGTGGTAATAATGACCAGTCGAACTAAGCCACGCGATATATGAAGGGTATTAATTCTATTTAAGTAATCACGATAGGGTTTGGGAATGCTTAATATAAATACGGGTACAAAAAAAGAACGACGGTTATTTTAGGTACCACTATTAAAAAGAATAAAAAACGTTGTCTGGATTTTGTGGACTATGCGGGACGTCGAAGTGCCGGCGTGGGGCAAACCTGTCCTGATAAGCTGTTGTCGTGGTTCGCCTATAACCCCCGTACGCCCCTCGGCTGAACTCATATGTTTATATGTATATAAACGATGTGTATAATATAATGTGTGTGCTGTATACAATAATGTATATATTTGGCCGTCGACCAATTTTCGATGTCTGGCCCTCCCAACCCCCGCGCAGCCACTATTAATATATTGTACACTAGTCGCTTACCGATAAAATGCCAGACTGTCCCATCAACGTAAGATCTACGGGCACAGTAATACCACATAATGCTCAGTGTAATGCAAGAATGTAACCTATTGTAATCGTTTGGTCTTCGACTGCAGTTTAAGCAAATTGTAATAAACAATCTCGTGCGCCCAAATCCTCAGAACGCAACCGCGCCATACATACAAACAATCTCCGGCTTTGCAAAGTAAACAATAAACGGACGGAAAATTAAAAAAAGGAATCGGTTAGCAGCGTCTTAAACTTTGTTGTGTTATATTTTTCAACCGAGGTTCAATCGACCCCCCAAAAAAAAAAAAAATTCTGATCACCGTACTCATAATTAGTTTAAGGAATCATTTGAGGTCATAAAAGAATACTTCAATAAGTAATTCTCACGATTTCAAAGGATAAACGATTCTTTGTTAGACCGTTTTATTAGCGCATACATTTTGCAATGTAATAGGTGGACGTGTTGGAAACATTTTCGTCGGCAACTATTCATACGTTTTATTAAAATAATAAATCACATTATACCAAAATGTCCGACCTAAGCAAGAATGTGTGTAATTCTCAATCAATAGGCATAGACTGAATAGTGAACGATCATTCTTAATAGAATTATTTTCACATTATTACTTTGCCAATTATTTGTGTTTGGCAATGCCCACATGGTTCACAAAATATACAAGTCTGGTTCGATGAAATAAAAACCTACATAAAAAAATATATACATATTAGAATATTGTAAACCTTAAAATGTGCTTAGTATTAGAGTACATCCCTCGCATTCTCTTCACACGTCCTTGATTTTGGGTTAACCGTAAGGATTCTCAAACTCGGTGATTCTGTTGGCTATTCCATGTGCATAAATATTGTTTTCTTTTTAGTTATGTTAATTGTAACGAAAATTTAATTATATTTATGTATGTAGTGCACAGACGATGTGCATCGGCCCAAAAAGAGTTCAAGTCTGTTTAAATATAATTTTGGAAGACGGAATATAGATTTGTGCGCAATAGGTCGCCATAGATCGTCTGGCGACCACGACAAACACCATCAGATAATGTGCATGGAATTTCTTTTTGTGCATTATTTTTTATGTATCACTTCAATTGAATTCGCATGCAAATTAAACGAAAACAAAAAACGCGTTTAAGTTCGTATGCCATTTTTTTCAAACGCTACGTGTATGAAAACTTGACTATAAATTTCTACAAACACTGGCTGATTATGTTTAGCATCTTTCTATACAATTTTAAGCCTCGATGAATAAATTATACATATTTAAAGCGAATTTTCGTTTTCAGATGATAGATTTAAAAAAAAAAAAAAAAGTTATAATACCTCCTGATGAAAGCACGACGCACAAATCCTGTCAATTATGAACCACACTGTGGCATAATGACGCTGTCACCCACACCTTATATATATAATATACGGTCGATGTACCCAACTTAAAAATCTATTAATCTATAATATACTGACTCGGTTTTCGCCACAATGTCACATCTGCTTAATTAACATAAATCAACAGAATATTTAAACAGATGTGTGAACTGGTCTGCTTTTGCGTTCCGAGTATTCAAAAATTGTGTACATACATAATGCTTTCTATAAAATTTATCGATGCTGTGTATCATACCATTACTGCGCCTTGGCGTTTCTAGTATATTCACCTCTCGGTCAAACGCATATATAGTCTCACATTATTTGCATGATTTCTTATCTGCTAGAGTTAAGCATATAAGAAAACTCGTCTGCCTTCAAATAATATGTGCGTATATTGAATCCAGCAATGCCGCCCTCCTAAGCCTAACATCGTACAATTTCAGATATCCAAAGATAATATTTTTTGGGCATTGTCTAGCAACATGGGTGGCGGCAATCCCAACGAGCCGATTGCATTTAAAAGTAACATTTTAGCGCATTTCGATGGGTTAATATTATAGACGTCAGTGGTGGATCCTTTGATTCTTCCGGTCAACAACAACAAAACCAAACGTATGCGGAGAGTTAATAACAATTGACAATGTTTAATAACCGATCGCCGTAGGAACATCTTTAAGTAACGCGTTTCGTCCATTTGAACTCTATTATTGCGTTAATATTATTATTATTATTATTA